ATAGAAAACTAATAGAAACTGAAATTAGCAAATTTTTAATAAATAGTTAAAAATTTACTTCTTATTCTGTGTGTGTGTATATATATATATATATATATATATATATACTAGTTTAATAAAAACTATATCAATAAAATGTATGAATAGAAGCTATAATAGTATCTCAATGATACTACAATAACACTATGGTATCTTTCTTCTTGCATAGTAAAATAATTCATAACTCAAATTAATGTTCCATGTCCATTTATTGATTTATTTGTTAAGAAATCGTATAATAAGCATAATAAATTGCATTTTCACAAAAATAAATCCTTTCATTGTGACTGGAGCGTTGTTTGTGTGTGTGAGAGCAGCAGTTGGAGATGGTGGAGCCGAGCGGTTGGATTCACATCCCTCTGTTGGATCTGGTCAACAATCCCATCAGGACCTTCATGATCCAGATCGCCGTGTTGGCCAACCACCAGAACGGACGGGACACGCACATGCGGCAGATCAAAGTCTACACGCCCGTGGAGGAGAGCTCCATCGGCAAATTCCCACGATGCACCACTGTAGACTTCATGATGTACCGCACCATCAGATGACCCGAGCTTCTGCTCGAATGGACGGACTGAGGTGCAGACTTTGCCTTTCCGTAAGACTGTTCTAGAATTAAATGGTTTCAGATGGTTTAAAATGTGTTTTGTAAAGAGAACAGTTCAAAGTTCAGTTTATGTAAATGCAAATCTACAGGAAATAAATGTTTTGTTTTTTTTAAATGAAGAAATCCTGTCCTGTATCTCTTGATGCTGTATTACAGCAGGGTAGATCGGTTTAGCTTGCTTTATTCAGTTGTCATGGCAAGCGGATTGATCGCTCAATTGCACGCTCTTCTACGCTACTTTGCGGAAACATGGACAGGTTTTCATCAGTCCCAGGTTGCTACAAAGAGCCCTTTTGAGGAATAACAAGTTTGTGAGCTTAATGCCATACAGACATAAATATTCTTATTTAAACATCCAAACATATTCAATCAGGTAAGGAATAGAGATTTTATGCTTTTATTATCATTATTATAACATATTTGGGTTAAAAGTGTAGGATTTATAATGTACAATATGTCAAGTCTTGCATTTAGCGCTTGTAGTTCACATTTAAACATTCAAAATTTTAGTTTGGCAATTATTTGCATGCAAACATCAACAAGCATATTTAGAAGATCCATCAGGTAAGAACATCCATCTGCATTTATTATCCTTATTAATTGAATAACATTTTTGGGTTCAAAGTGTAAGATTTATAATGTAAGATGTAGTGCTTGTAGTTAACATTTAAACATTCACACAAATCTAATAGAGATGTAGTTTTATTATCGTTATTAATAAAATAATATTTTGGGTTAAAAGTGTAGAATTTATAACGAGGTAGGGCTGGGTTTTGACACAAATTTCACGATTTGATTCGATTCTCATTCACAAGCTTACGATTCGATTCGATTACCGATTCGATTCAATATCGATTATTTTGGATATATATCAGGTACAGTACATGCCAAATTTTCTCGAGGAAAAAAAACTCTCAACTAATGCTGTAAAATATACATGAGAGTCAGTTGGTACTACTGTACATTATAATATTAAAGGTTAAAATTGACTGATTTGTGCTGTACAACTACTTAAATTGCACTTAATTACATTTTTATTATAATTAAGGATTGAACTGAGGCGTTACAGCGATCTGTCACTCCACATTAAACAGCGCCAAAACGGCATTTATTGTTTGAATACTGCAATACAATGGACAGATTCTGAAATCTGAGACTTTGTTTCATATTAAAAGTACCAACACACAATACGTATTGTGATTTATTGGATGGGAGGTGCGCTTCAATGTTCCAT